GACGTCATCATCATGTGACCCACCCTTTGCCGAATGATTGGCACGTCCCGAAATTTGGGGTCCGAGGACCGTGGGAGGGGGCCATGGGCGTGGGCACGTGACGTCATGGTCACGTGGGAGGATGATACAGGATGAAACCAAGGCACCTGCCGAGTACGTGCGCTTAATTTGTTAACGTCTGTGTACGTGACAAAAATTGTTTACTTCTTGTTCCATCATGTATCATATAACACTACTCTGCACCCAACGCTTTAGGTGCATTGCATGGTTGCTGCCTTTTTGAGAGATGTGAGTTGTTATGGCGCGTCAGGAATGGTCTTTCTGCAAATCGTTTTAGCGTGAAACGTTCTTTGGCTAGTTGTGGCAGATTTGGCGAGGCCGCATTGCGTTTCCCCGCTAGATTTAGCAGGAAAATTGACGACATGCAATCTTCACACAAATTCAGTTTCTCCGCTAAATTTAGCGGCAAAAATGACGTCACATGGCTGCGTATCACGTAGCCTATACAAAAATTAAATTTCCCCGCTAGATGTAAAGAACAAATTTACGTCACGTGACCTGTTGTCACGCGTCCTATACAACGATTCAACTTCCCCCAAAAATTTGGTGTGAAATTTACATTAGCTGACTCCGATTGGATATCGCTGGACCCATGCGGTGCAGCTATCGCTAAACGCTCGTGGTGCTACAACGTTTCACGTATCCAACAGAATTGCCTTGCTATTTGCCATGCATTTTTTTTTTTGGGGTGTGCACTTTTTTCCGCGCTTTATCTGTACTATGTCGCACAGGCTCTCAGCCAAAATGAAACCACTTTTACAAGACTATCGCTCTCCGAGAAGGTCTATTTACCTGTTTCTACTTCATCGTCGATTGAACATTATGCATAAGCCTGAGGACTACCAAGCTCCGTTTCCCACCGACACACTCGATGCTGTTGCCCTGTGCTACACTGAGCCAACGGCCCCTCGAATTTTCGTGTTCTTTGAGATTTAACTAGAATTGTTCTTCTTTCCAAGTTAATTTAGACGTCTGAGCAGCGGGAGGGCTCGACTAGTGGCGTGGCTGTTTCTTCCCGCAGTCGCAGTCGTTGGGCCGCCGCGTGGTCGACGCGAACGTGGCAGCAGACAACGAAGTGATTCTAAAGCAATAAGATGACTCAACTGCTCTTCCGCGCTTGCTGACAAACTAAGGCATCGCAAACAAACCAATCTTATGAAGTTCACTCATGACAGGAGAATCCAAGCCGATACCGGTGCGCCTCAAACGATGACGCACGATGATGTGCGCGCCCCGCCGCCCTAGGCAGCCGGAGAGCGATGACTACAGGTAGTGTAGCGGCGCCATCACTTCTGGAATGCTCGCTCCTGCGCAGTTCGCTCGGTGAGATTGGTCTATTGACTACTTGACAAGTAATTCTATCTTTTTTTGTGTGTGTGATACAGGCTTACTTTCTGCCCAATTATGGAGACACCGGCAATCCTTTTTGCAAAATTTGCAATTCGAGGAATTGTGCTGACCGTCAAATCATAAGCATGACCGCGCAGGCTGTCGTTCGAGGGTTGTGTGCTTCTTTTTATAGATATCGCGTTGACTTGGAAAAATTCAGTGTTGCTCCTGATACTTGACTGAGTTTACAAAGCACGTTCAAATCTGACTGCGAACATATAAAGCTTTCTGAAAAGTCAAATATTTTATTTTTTATTTTATTTGTTATAATATTATAATATTTGCAATCAAAATAATGGTGTGGTGTGTGGTGTACAATAAGCCTGCACACCAGGCTTTACGTTTCAGCGAAATTCCCAGAGTATGCTTATCATGTTTGAAAGACTAAATTATTAAATCTGTTCATTCTCGTTGAAATGTCAGCGTTTTTTTTTTTCTTATGAACGAGCGAATTTAGATAACCTAAAAGACAAATTAGGTCATGATGTTGATTTGCGCGGTGTGTTTTGGTCCTTATACTTTTGAAATAAAAAAAAACAGCGCAATGTAAGAAAAAATGATGAAGTGGAAGATCTATAAACAAACGGTACCAGATATGAGTGAAGCAGCATTAAGCAATCGATACGGTAGTCGCTACATTAAGCTACTCAGTTATATTTTTGAACCACTGCTTCGTAGAATATACGGCGGCTAAATCATAACTCGTTCCTTTGCAGCTGCAAATGTCCAATTCGCTAGCGAAAAACAAATCTTCAGCTAACAATTATCTCCAGAACCTGCTAACATGACAAACAAGTGCATTGCGCACATGTCTCCTTGTCTACTTTTCCGCATGTTCAGAGGTTCACCTCCACTACCGTCAGCGTTGCCAGCGATATCTAAATAAATTCACGCAAAAAGAAAGAAAAGAGGGCTTTATTTCTCGGTCGCCGACGAATGCCTTGTACTCATGTAGGAAATCACTTCCAAACTGTCCTGTTCACTGTGGTATAAAGGATGTGTTCACGGCGCCAATGCTACTTCTCTTTTTTTATCGAGCACATGGCAAAAACGATGTTTATGCACACAAAAAGCATCCTATCAAATGGATAATTTAAAGTCATTTGCGAGATATTCCAAAACTTATTTCTCTTTTATGCAAAGGTGTAAATATTTTTAAGACTACTACGCAACTGTATAATCGTGCAAGCATGGCCTCCTAGCGTGTACCCCATGCGTACCAGCACGTGTAGTCTACTCGCGAATTGAGCTTTTACGATGCAATACAAGACGAAAAGACGGTAAAAACGCAGGCGAGCTGGTGAAGAACTTCTACATTAACCCGAGAAACGGAACGATAACAAAACGCAACGAACACTCTTACATGTATGTCAAGACCCTCACCGCAAACAAATAAACACCTTCTTTTCACTTGGTCACCACCGGACACTCAGACATATACGAATGATTCAAGCTGCCCCCTCCTTTCACACAAACCATCCACCCTGACGACCTCATTGAAGGGCTGACCATCCACATGCAATTACAGGCAACTCAAGTACAAGCTTTGCTATTTTTGAAAAACCCACAAAACAAGACCTTAAAAATACAAGTACTCTTCTAATCACTATCCAATGCCAAGGACGATGTGCTTACACAATTGCCAGAGGTCAGAATATGCATGGTCTTCCTTAGAACTCTCCTACTATTTTCTTTGTTTTTGTGCAAAACCTAGGTATCCCCCCCACTCCGGCTGACAGTCATTACAGTCTACAAACGTTTTTAACGATTTCCGAGTATTGAGTCTTAACTTCTACCGCCTTTTAAGTTCCAATAGTCGTTTATTTAAATAACGAACAGTTTTTCCAACGTAAGAAAACCCACACCGCAACAGAATGCCGTACACCAATCCTACCTGACAAATTACATCTGGATTTCTGATTTTTTTTTCTCTGACACCCCTGAAGACCAACCGAAAAGAGGGTTAACCTTTCTAGTTTGCGCTGAGCTTTGAAAACTAATCTTGCGCCGAACCTCTTTGGTACAAATTTAAAGTTATCAGAGATTTCATGGTAGTAAGGCACACAGACAGTATTCGTCACAAATGGTTTTTCCACAGAAGCCGAACTAAACTTTCCCAAAACCTTGGGCGCAACTCTAACATTTTTATCGTGGTGATGGCCCGCTTCCAATAGACGCAACTTTTGCAACTCAACTGCCTTTCCAACCCAGTGCGTACAGGACTTTTTACGGGCGTTATTCATCACAGACGGAATTACGCCCATTTTAACTATCTTCGAGTGACAGCTGTCAGCCACCATCAAAGGCTTTGCCGATTCCTTGTCGTACCTCCATCACAGGACCTTTTCCGCGTGCAACAGGAAGTCTAAGTACTTTATTTTACCCTGAAGGGTATTTTCTTCCGTGAACGTCAAATCCTGGCACTTGTCTACTATATAATCAAGATGTCGTCTACGTAGCGACGGACAACGACAGCTGCACTCGGAAAGGACACCCCAACCGTGTCAACGTGAACATGCATGTCGTTTAAACAAACCTCGGACACCACTAGCGTAAGGATAACCTTCAACGTCTGCAACAATGAACTCTAAATAAAACTCCAGTATGTTAAAAGCTCTCCTCATCAATCAACGAGGAAAACTAAAACTTCACTACATTATCATCACACCACCTTTTGACCCTCATTGGCAGCTCCGACTTGTCCATAGAGTAGTATTCCTTGATGTCTAAAGTGGCTACCATCACACCTATTCTCGTGATTCGGATTATATACTTCAATCTATCGCTCAAAGTTTGTTAGTGACAACGGATTGTTGAGCTCCACTCCTGTTAAGCACTTCTAGAAAAAAGGACACCTGCAGTCAAGCTCCATTTTTATTCACAACCACTCTCAGGGGAAAATCAGCCTTATGGTCTTTCAGCAGAAATTGCTATCTTACGTTTGCCAGCGATATTTCCCCAATCTTTGTATCTCCGTCGGAAAATCACACTCTTTGAGTACATCTACCACGCTCCAAACAAGTCGTTTTCCAGGATAGAAAACCTTCCTGATTTGTAAGTTTGGAGCAAAGTAAGCTCCTTTTGTTCCAGCTCCTTCCTTACTTCACTGAACGTGTCACAATTCACCGTTTCCGTCAAAAAAGAGAGATCTACCTACCTAGACATTTTCCTTATTGACTTGTCAATAAAACATTTTCTCTTATCCTGTTCACAGATTTTTCTGGCAATTTTGAAGACATCAGTTCCGATGTCAACTTTAGAAGGCTTCGCATTAACGGAGAACTTCGGCCCCTTAGCCAGACATGTTGCAGTTTTTTCGTTCAGCTGCTTTCCCGACAAGTTGAGAGGCTATCCTTGGCGATGAATTCCAACATCTGCTGTGACGCCTGCAGATCAATTTCTAAGGGTGCTAACGTTTTCCTTACAATTCCGCTCCATAGCACTTTCCATTTTTACCACAACAAATACAAACAGGTAGAATACTCAATACTATTAACTTAACATAGTCTTCCTCAACCGTTAATGTACAAATACTGTCCCACACCTTACAGGTTTGCCTGAGTTGGTCCTGCAGAGAGTCCTGTAGGCCGTCAGCACTTTTTCATGTCCCTCCAATCCCCACCCAGCGATAAAAGGTAAGGCCATCTTTTTTCTTCGATATATCTTCCCCTTAAGCAGAAGCCCAGAAAACACCAATCCGCCTCGAGCTCCGCCATCCGCTGCCCCAACTTGCAAAGTGCTAAGAGACTGCATACATCCATGCACATACGACGAAGGCAGTGACAATAAAAACAACGACGAACACACCTCTAGGCCTGCATAGCGGATAATCTTTAAAGAAAGGGTAAAATCACAGGCAAGCTGGTGAAGAACTTCCTTAGTAATTTAGTTTTCCAATCTCAGCGCAAATTACAAAGGTTAACCCCTTTTTGGGTGGCTTTCAAGGGCGCCAGAAAAAAATATAGAAAGCCAGGGGCCCTAAACTCGTCAAACACAAAGCAGGAGCCGAAAGTTCGTGAAGCACGCCGATTGGACATCGGCGACAAAAGCGCGAAGTCATCGTCATTATTCTCCAATCGGTGCTCTCCGTCAACTACGGCCCTAACTTGGTGTTTGACGAGTCTAGAGCCCCTGATGGCACCTGTCAAGTAGGAGTAGTGTACGACATTCCGTTGCGGTGTGGGTTGTCTTGTGTGGCAAACTGGTCGTTCTTAAAATGAAAGGCTCTTGGAACATAAAAGGTCACAAGAAGATAAGGTTCAGTACTCGAAAATCGCTAAACATGTTGTAGACCGTAATGACTGTCAGCCTGAGTGGGGGATACCCAGTTTTTGCACAAAAAGAAATAAAATGGTAGGAGAGTTCTGAGGAAAACCATACGTACTTTGACCTCTGAATATTGAGTAAGCACACCGGCCTTGGCATTGTATAGTAATATAAAGCTTCTTTTTGTGTGTGTGTGTGTGTGTATGTGTGTCTCAGGCGGAATTTCCAAGAATGATTAGTATTGTGCTTGAGTTTCCTGTTATCGCATCTGGCTGGTCAGCCATCAAACGAGGTCGTCAGAGTGGGTGTTTGGTGTAAAAGGAAGGGGGCAGCTCGAATTATTCATATCTGTCTGAGTGTCCGGCTTTTGTTGACCTAATGGAGAGGAGGATTTTGTGTGTGTGTGTGTGTGTGGGAAGGGTTTTGACGTAGATATGACAGCCTTCATTGTTCAAATAAACTAGAAGCTGTGTTTCAGACTTGTTGTTTTGTCCGTTTTTTATCATTTTCTGGATAAATAAATGAATGGATGTTAATGGCTATACCTTGTAACAGGCGGTAGCTTGCGCCACCTAGCCTATGTTTAAAAACGTTCTGCCTTTCCACTCTCGTGAAGAAGGAAGACCAGCGGAGCTGTACTCAATACACTGTGTGCTTCTTCTTCGTCGTCGTCTGTTATTCGCACTGTTTCCTACGATGAATTCCCGCCAACGCGCCCAACTATCCATTCTTCTATTAAAGCTGGAAAGGTTGCCGCCATCTACAAGCGACGGCGGAAACCATACTGGTTATGTGATTGCCGCCGTCGCTTATAGAGGGCGGTAGCTGTCCATGTAGGTTTGTGTCGACATACATGGGCACGATCCTGGGGAACCTAGCCCTTAACAGCTCTACTGTGAGAAGACAAGCATGTGATTCCTCCCGCTTTTCGAAGCCACTTTTCTCTCGTAACTATCATCAGGCAGTGTAGGATTTCACCAAGAAGACCTTTGGGGGCATCGGGCAAAAAAACTAAAAACGTCACCCCCGACAAGAGAGTCGCCAATTTTTCTCTGGCCAAACCTTGTCGGCGTTATTCCAGTACGGGGCCCACTGGAAGACAGGGTAGATAGAGACTTTAGGCCGGAGCCCCACGGGAGGGAGTCCCAATTTTTTTTGTCCCGTCTGTCCCCAACTGTGCTAGTTAGTTGCGCATCATTTAATTTTCCCTAGATAATTTCCACCAATCTTCTAATCAACTCTTTGTGACTGTAATCCTTTTCTCTTCCGCCCTTCCATCGTCGCCAGCAAAACCCAGGGCCCCGGCTAGATTTCTTGTCACTTCAGGGAGGTCGGGGCGAAGCCCCATGCACTTCAAAACCAAGTGCTCTAGTGTCTCGCCCATATTACGGCAGGCGGCACATAATGTGTCTGTCTCCTCAAAATTTAGCCCTATACGTCCTCGTCCTCAAAACTCCTGTTCTCGCTTCAAACAGTAAAGAACTCCCCAGTGAATTGTCAAACACATATTCCTTTCTTATGTCCTGTTTTTGTAACGTGTACATCGTTAGAGCTGATTTTTCCTGCATTCTTACCTCCCACGTTTTTCTTTCTGCCTTTCTCACTTTCTTTTCCACTAAAGTGTCTGCTCAGCCCCATCACTAGTGTGTAGGTATTTAAATGTAGGCTTTTTGGTTCGGTTTGCGCATTTTGTGCATAAACTTTTTATGGATAAATACTTTTATGCCTTCCTTGCCCAACGCCTATCGTGTCATACATTTCGGTGAACCATTGTTCAAATTTCAACTTACTAATGGCCTCCCTGCTTTTAAAAGACGACCAGCCCAGGTCCCCCTCTACTCCTTCATTTGGTGTCTTTCCATGTGCTCCCAGTGCCAATCTGCCTACGTTTCTTTGTCGAATTTCTAATTCTGATTGAACCTCTGATCTCATGCACAGTACCCCATTGCCAAAAGACAGTCCAGGTACCATCACTCTTTTCCACATACCTCGGACCACTTCCTATTTATTATAGTTCCATAATGCATTCAACTTTTTAATAGAAGAATTTATTTTCCCTTTTCAAATTATATTCTCCTCATATTACTCTAGATATTTTCTTCCCTCATTGGCCCACACTCCCAGATAATTGCATTTTCTTACATGGCTTTTTATCCTCAGGGGCTTCCTCTTTCCGTCGTTAAACACCATTATTCGAGACGTGTCACCACTAAACCTCATGCCCAAGGTGTCTCTTTCCTCTCCACATGTTCCGGCTAGTTCCTGTAACGTATCCTGTTCATCTGTCACAAATACTATGCCGCCCGCATACATCAGTCCTGCTATTATCTGTTCAACATTTCTCCCACCTTCCATATAACTCGCATCAAAACCTAAGTTTCTCTTTTCTAATTTATCTTCAATTTCACTGAGATATATAATAAAGAGTAGAGGTGACAGTGGACAGCCCTACCTAAGCCCTACTTGTATTTCTGCTGGTTGTGTGGTTTCTCCTTCCCATGTTATAACTACCTTATTATCAGTGTACGCCTGCTGAAAAAACATAGCCAAACTTGCATCTAAGTCATACTCGTTCAGCTGATCTCAAGGTTTTTCCTGGTTCACATTATCGCACGCTCTCTTTATGTCGAAATAATCTAACCATACAGGAGTTTTGTTCTTCATGGCTATTTCTATATATTGTGTGGTGACGAATAAGTTATCTTCCAGTCTTGTATATATTCAAAATCCGTTTTGGAGCTCACCCAGCATTCGCATATCTTCTGCTCATTCCTCGATTCTCCGCTTTACTATCTTCATAGCCAATCTGTATAGAACTAAAGCTGCCGTTATTGGGCGATATGACATAACGTTGTCTTCGTTTCCTCTGCCTTTAAATATTAGACTCATTTTACTTAGTTTACAATCATTCGGTACCTCCCTACCCTTAATTATTTGACGAATCGCATGATTAACTTCAATTTGCTCTTTTTTTTTAGTGTCTTAGTGAGTTCCATGGACATGCCGTCTGGGCCTGTCACTGTACATGCTGGAACCTTACTTTCTGCCTTATCTGATTCTCTTGTGGTCGTCTCCATTGTTAAATAATCCTGCTCATCTACACTGTTTCTGTTAATGCTAACCACTGTCCCACTCTGCTCAAGCTGGGAGAAAGCCTCTTCGATTGTCCGCTTAATATATTCCTGTACCTCCTTCCCCCTCTACTCTTCTCTCCTCCAGTGTGGTCAGTACGTGTTTGAGACATCCTATCTTTCTCCCCTGCGCTTTAACGTGCTCCCAAAACCTTTTTCCTGCATTCCTCTCATTGTTATTTATTTTCATCATTCACTGCACTCCTGCACTCCTGATTTTGGCCTGTATTAAAGTTCATGCTTCCCTCTTCTGCTCTTTGAAGTTCTCCCAATTTTATGCTACTTCAGCTGGCAAGGCTCTCCTCTTCTTTGCCCATCTATGCTCCCTAGATGCCACTTTGCGACTTGATATGGCTGCTTTGACCTCCTTATCCCTTAACTCCGGTTACTATGAAATGTTGCGATTAGCTGTCTTTGCGTGGACTGGATTTACATGGATGCGACTGTAGCCCATAGAATCGAGATTTGACAATTTCTATTGGTAGCAGATGGGTAGAAGAGTAAGTAGAAGGACAGGCCGCATGCGATTGGCCCCTGCTCGATTCGGTGTGCTACGATCGCATTCATGCAAACGTAGCCAGTGATGCTACCGTAGCGGATCGAATCGAGATTTCACTATTTTGATTGGTAGATGGGTAGAAGAGAAAGAAGTAGGGAGACAAGGGTGCGTGTGATTGGTCCCTCTTCAATTCGATGCGCTATAATGGCAGTCATGTAGACGTGGCCATTGACCATGCAATCTCACCAAGCGTTTGGCGCATGGGTGAAGCCGCCTTAACTTTATTTCGCAGGACGAAGGCGCCAGTGCCCGAAAACGCTCGTGCCTTGCCGTGCTCTGCATCCGCACAGCTCCAGCGAGGTTGTCCACGTGCAGGGGCTCTGATCTGGACACTTGGCGAAAATTGGCCAGCCCCAAGGCCAAGCACGGTGCCAGTCAGTAACGGCCGCAGGATTCCTCGCCGAATTTCTCACCAAGTGTCCAGATTAGAGCCCCAGAAAGAAGTTCCCTCGAAACATTGCGGCAGCGGTGGCGTAGCCAAAGGGTTACACCCATGACGCATGATGGACTACGTTGCCACGACTAGATGACGCCAGCGTCTGTCGTCGTAACGATAACGACAGATACACTGCTGCCATCTATAGGGCAGCCCTGTTACCCATTCGTTCTTTATTTATTTTAGGAAGCAATCTTTCATCGTGTACTCCAAATCATCCCAACAATCTTATCAGCTACTATT